TAAAACATAGATATGTTAATGTACGTTCTTTATGATCATCTTTTTTTGTAGTTAATAGCTTTATCCTTTGTTGAAAAATGTTTACCTTTTGCATAGAGCGCTGCTGTTTAGAACGGCGCTGCTGATTTGCCGCCAATATTTAAATAGGGTTTTTGGCCCCGTCGAATAGCCTAATACGACCGGTGTCGATGTCGCAGTCTAACCGCTTGGCATTCGTGTCGCCTTTTGGGTTTGCTTAATCCTTTAAATGGAACGGTCACATCAAATACATTGTTTTGGTCGGAGCCACATCTACCAGATGAATTGGAAGGTATGATACGTGAGTTGATGTCGCTTACATTTCTTAAACGTGAGCCCTGCAAGAAATTTTGATGTGCGGGTACGTACCTAGATCAATGGACCAGACAGAATTATCTTGAGATATAATGAAAACCTGCTTTCATTACTTCTTAAGACACACCACAAAGATGGCACAAGATAGAAAGACTGACGACAATAAGATCAGCATTTAGCAGACTGTTTCACTCGAACTGATTGTTCGAAAAGATTTAAGTGTGAAAAAACTGATTCCGAAAAAGCTGGTCGTTAATTTTATTATAATATACACGTTTTAAATCTTTGTCTTCTTGAGCAGTAACTCAAAACGGGCCCGTTGATTCTGCATAAGGTGACTTTTGAAGAACAAGTCTTGAAGTCTGGAACCATATAAAATGTAAGTGGTGCTATTAATAAATCAGTCCACTGAAACTCCCCCAGTTATCAAGAGTCGCTTGATATTAAGGATTTTAGGCAAAGATAGAGTAGCTTGACTTGAGAATATATTTCGAATTGAACTGAATTGCTGGTTTTCCCGAGTCCGCATGTCCGATACTTATCAGAGATACTCTTTTGATCAGTAAGTAGACTTAGCACGATCTGCACTTTATTCTGTGATGATAAGTTTCAATGGTATTGTTTTCTTTCTTTAGTCCTTTTACTGACCTTTGGTCGTTTTACAAGGTCTCCTACGTACACCTTAAGATATTTACAATGATATCACTAATAGTCCTCAAGACGAAGTCGCTTATCGTTACCGTATTTCGTGAGTGACTATTTCTGTCTAAATTATATGATAAATCAATCACGTTCGGCGAGCCGTTATTTTGGTCGATTATCCTGACATAAATAACGCTTAGTGATAAACATTGAATCAAACGATCACAGTTTGATATAAAAAAATAATGTGATTCGTCGTCTCTAATTCAAGATGGTGCATTGGACCCTGAGATAATAAACTATAGAGTCTTAAAAATGTCAATAATGATTAGTATCTATTTAAGTAATATCATCAATCACAAACTAACGGCGATGCAAAATACGGCTCTAGGAAGTAACTCGTAATAGATCATTTGATTGTTACTAAGTAGTCAATGAGAAGTTATTTTTTTAATCGTAAAAAAAACAACGGAGACTTTTTTCATGAACGAACGAATTCTTCTTATTGTTTTTGGGTGAAAAATAGAATGAACTCCAACGCCTAACGGGAACAACTTATCCTATTATTTAGGCATGTTCCATTCGAAGAGTTTGGCTAAATTCTAACACAGAAACAGCAAGCTAGTCCAAGTTTATTTGGACATTCCAAGCAAAAGAGCATGCGGTTTCCATGCGCTTAGACACTTAGAATTATCTCATTGAATCTCAAATATGACTTTTATCTTGCTATTAGATATATGATAATTGCCGTTTTGTCTGGAAATTCTTATGGCAATACCCTCATTTCTTCGAGTTATATATCTTCCTTATGATGTAGCAAGACGAGATTATTCTTGGTACTCTATAAGCGCTATCTCGAGAAATTTCTAAATACGCCTCACGTCCGGTGGATGCTCAAAGGACAATCTCATGTGTGGCGATAACAATTGATAAAATTGGCTAGACGTGGCAATATCCAGTACTGGATTTTACGGTGCAGATTATTCTAAGGCACAATCATACCGACGTCCGTTTCATGAAGCATAAGCTGGACGGCACCGATATCTCATCCCGGGATACTTGCGCTGCTAGTCGCTTCAGTAGCTTCAACGAGAGCTTCAACATTCGAAAATATCTTTAAGAGGTACTGATGCCTAACTTTGAAAATCACGCATATCAAATTTATATTAGACAGTATTTCCTAATTAACACATTCACATGATATAATTATACTCAATGAGTAAAATGTATTTATGCAGCTTTGTA